ATATATAAATTCTTCGTTTTCGTCTTGATCCAATCCAAAATACGAATATACAGGGGTGCTACAGAAATCTCTTCCGCCCAAATTTCGCCTCAAAACCAATTCTTAGTGCTACAGAAATCTCTTTTGGGCCCTTGGCCCAAATACAAAATTACATTTTGAAGACATTGCGCAAAATGAAAAAATGTTACAAAAAAATTGAATATTTCATAAGCAACATAAGTAGAATTCTTTATTTCACCAAGTGGTATCAGATGAGCTTCTCAAAGATTTGTCTTGTATTTTTTCAACATTTAATTGGCGTGTCCGCAAATTCTCGTGGGCTAATATTAATCAATGCTGTTGGAGATTTTAAAAACAACTGTAGTCAAAAACTACCGACATTTCTGTGGCATCCCTGATACTCTTTCCTGTAAAACTGCTTTAGCACCAGAATGTTTCAAATGTAACTCTTCTAATTTTTTCCTCCAACTCAGCAGAGATGTAGAGTTGAGAATTTCGTCGCGTTGCGTATTACAATGTTGGCTTCTTTTTAAATCTACGAATTAAATGTACATAAAATATAGTTTAAGTTGAATCCGCTCTGTCTAATTTGCAGCACCATGCATCTATTCTATATGTTCAATACTTGCGTACATCGACATCATAAGTATGTATGTGAATTTCGTCTATTCCAATAAACACAGGCAGGAATATGAATAACGCCTTTCAAGTTTTCTGTGCTTTGTAGATTCGTCGGTCCCACTTTTTTTTACGTTCGCAAATATTTCGTTTGCATTGCACGTTGGACGAAAGCGAATAGCGTCGTTTAAGTCCTTTCACTTGTGCTGTGCTTCTTTGTAGCCACACTACCTTCTTTTGTTCGTAGTGTAGCGTCGTTGTTTCGTAGCTTTTCGCCGTAAGGTAAGTCTTCGTTTTACACTTTGGGCGAAAACGAATGGCGTCGTTTTGCTGCTTTCGCCTGTTCTTCGGTGGGTGGTTCGTCGTTATTTCACATTGTTTCGCAACTTAGTGAACTTACAGACACACATTCAATGTTTCATTTGTATAAATACTAACGGGTAATTTATAATTTGCTCATTCACTAATGGTTCCTTCACGGACGAGGGATGTAAGGGATTCTTCCATATAATATATAAAATAAATACCGATATACCTTCTCCGATGGGATGTAGTTTTTCGCTCTGTTACACCGAAGTGGTGACTATTTGCGCTGATCTACGTTCCGTGACCTATTTACAGCAGTCTACATAAACAATCCAAGTCTAGCTCCCGCTGAAAAACTCTTCCATCTTTACACAAAGACATGTGGTGAGGCAAAATATACTGGAACGATTCGAAAATAAAAGGCTTCTAGTCAATAGCCAACTAAAAATCCTGTTTAGTATTTCGCCTACAGCTCAAGAGTCAGGAGCTACACAGAAGGAGCTCCAAAGTACGGTCCAATGATGCTTGACGGCTTTTGAGCACTCCAACATCGCCACCACCAACTGGGACTGTGTCCTAGTTTTCATATGCCCGTTGAAGCTTCCGAAGATAACTCTGTCGTTATGGGAGCAGTCCTTCAAACAAAATCGATATTCCGACTTGGCTTGATTTGTTTCTGATAGAGCGCTGTTTTAAAACGCTCATTCAATATGCAAAGTCAATCCAAACCACCACGAAAAGAGTTTGCATTTAAAAGAGTAAACTCTTTCGAATTGAATATTAGCGTCAAAGCAGGAACGTGCCCGTTATGAGCTAAGAAACCCCATCCGTTTCGATTATGCCCTCGTTTCCTCCAAATATCCGTCAATAAGAGCGCTGCTGACGTTAAACAGTTAAACTCTGTCTTAACCGTTATTGCTGTAGTGAATATTCTTCACTCAGGCATCCATTCAGCACGTGCATTAATTGACTCCAGGTCACAAGAAACGTTCATATGGGACAATACACATACACAATCTGATCAAGCTGCCTTTCCAAAAAGCCAAGGGCCAAGTATCCGGGCTCAATCGAGTAGTCTCGGCCGACGTGCACAAGATGTGCATTTTTAAGGGATTTCCGCCTACAAAACTAAGGCTACAAGTTGAGACCTCAGCGTTTGTGCTCCCACATTTGGTAGGCAATCTATCTTCATGGCTGCCGTGAGCCTGCCCAGCGACCAAGAAGTCCCCACGGTGGCCGTACGATCCAAGGTCCTCTCGTCGTTCCGTTTTGAAGTTCCCCTCTAAATAGCACTGAATCTAAAATTGCGGACTCCCGAAACAGCTGTGGAGGGAGCGATCCAGGATGAGTTTGCGACACTGGTACTCGCGGATCCGATTCCACCGGACATCCACAGTTCTAATAATTCTCGGGCCGGACGTATACCCATGGATTATCTAAACAGGATGCCTTTCGGGTCGAGATGGCCTTCCCGTAGCCCAAAGAAACGTGTTTAGCTAGATTTTGTCCGGTGCCAATAAACGCACTCCAGGCGTCCACTTACGGCTCACATCCTTGCCGTGACGTTCAGCTTTCAATGTGCCTTTTTTGCAATATATTGCAGGGAGACGGGATGTTAATGCGAACAGTAAGGGGTACAAATTCACCACAGACAAAGTCACCTCCCACGCGATCTTTTAAGCTTCGAGCGCACTAGAATTAGTATCAAAACATACTCGAGACGTATAAAAGCGCATATAGTTCGTGCCCTCATGTTACATGTACACACACATGCAAAAACGTAGGCGGGAGGATGGTGGGAGGGGGTGGGGGGGCAACGGCCAAAAAAAATGTTCCCATATAAAGTCGACCACGCGTTCATATTATGACACACAATTTCGCCTTAAAATGGATCTGAGTTGGATTTGTTAAAATTTTGTACAAGCTGCAACGATTAGGAGTAGAAACAGAGCGTTGAGCATCTCCTCTGTCACTGCCCAGCACTTTATAGGCATAGGTTCTCTGCCATGGGGTGACCATTCTTGAATGATCTCGCTAAACTGACTAAAATTGAGATTTTCAATATTTGCAAATGTATAGGAAGTACTGGGCGGCTGTAGGAATAGAGGTTATGGGCCTAAGTGTGTCGGCAGGTACCATCGCCCCTACCATTGCAACCTAATCTAACCTTAAAACATATTCCATATATATGAGTGGTTTTTCACGCAGGGCCAAATACGGGAAATCAAATACAGTTATATGACAATAGAAATATATATGTTTTAATTCATTGTGTCAAGGTATGCAATAATATGAAACCTAAAAATATTACAGCAATACGGAGCAAAAACGGATGCATTAAATCTAAAATATTGGAATAACTTAACGGCTCGATCTCGTTGGTGTCATAAGACCCCCTCCTATTAAAGCTCTGAAGATGCATGCCTACTGAGCAAAAAATATTGCGCACAGATCTTCGCCCTACGACGCTACGGCGACATTTCTGTCGACAGACAGCTAGCACGGACTACACTACTTCACAATCGATCATTAAACGCAAAACAACATCCAGGGGACCAAATACCTGCCGCACAGGATTAGACTAACCATCAACTAATATTTTTGCAGCCAATATTTTCCAGACTGAAATATTCGCAATAAGATAACCTGCGGATGAGGTTCTTAGACTACAAAACACAGAAGACAGCCAGGCAGACATAAAATCTCTGCAGGTGTCCATCATCGAAATCGTCCTGGTTAACAGGGAGGCTGTAGCTAAGATAAGCACCAAAAAACTATGCACATCTACTAAATTCGCAGCATTGGGACATTAAGAGAAAAGAGATCGTGGACACTCTGGCAAAGGAAGGAATAAATCTAGTCATACTTTATGGGGTAGGTGATGCCTGCTTCTGCCTGTTACATAATTTACACAAACCTAATATACCCTTTTTGCAGGGTATAAAAATACTTTTAGTACAGAACATATTACTGTTTATAACAATACTGTAATTTGGTTTTTATTAGTTTTGTTTCTTTATGGTTACACAGGGACCAATGTTATTGTTTGCCTGCTTTTTGCCAAATTCGAAATGGAAAACTTTTACCAAAAAAAAAACAGGTGGTTTTTATTGGCATTTAAACGCAAACGATAGATTCCCTTTTACACATCCATTGTTCCATGCGGCGTACTCTTTCGTCAAAATATCACGTTTCAAAAGTCTATCCAAGGGCCTTTTACTGGACAAAGACCCTTATAAATCTTTTAGAGTTTTGATGTTTTAATGTTTTGTCAAATTCTTTTATCTATTTCTAATTTCATTTTCTTCTATTTATAATTTCATTCAACGGACTACACAGGCAATGCGATTATTTATGAAATTCGATAAGGAATATATTTGTTAGCCTTAAATGTCATCAAGAATGAATAGTATTGAACAATTTGGTAGCGTGGGGAAGGGATTCGAGCTCACGTAAAGTGTGTATGATTGCACATTTTCATCGGAATTATATAAATGTGTGTCTGTGTGTAAGCATGGGTGCAGTACAGAGTTCAGCCAAAGCAGCAATGAAAACAGCAGATACTGCACAGCTTGGGCAGAAATTACATTTATGGCTATTACTTGCTTTCGAATGGGCCTATAACAATGAAACTCGACATACGGACTCATAAATACTAACAGGTTGTAATTGCTAAATTTCGAAGAAGTACCGAAAGTTTGTAATAGCCGAGGAGTAAAGAGAGGAGGTAAATTTTTAAGGCATTCTGCACCACAATTTGGTATCTATAGTTTTTATAGTCTCTGGAAAATCACGAATAGGGGGAGTGGAGGGATGGGTCAAAACAAAAATTGCTCAGCGTACACATAAAAGGAATAATTTAGCGTTTTTAGCTCTTATAGTTATTTGCACGAACCTAATACTATATACTCTTATACCTTTTCGGCACAAACAAAATTGAACAAAAAAATACAATTTTTTTTGGGGAATTTAAAAAATTATTCTTTCAAAGTCAGGTCGCACCGACCGATGTTTATATTACCTGTTATTATGGAAATCAAAATCATGTATCTAAGTAAATTTAAGCTTTTACTTACTTTGACAACGCTATAAACTGCTTGTGCATAGAGCATGTTCACCTCAACCGGGTCCTGAGATAATTCGCGAGTTAGCTTAAATAATCTTTTTTTGAATACAAATCGATTTTCACCAGATGTTGACGCGCTCGAAACACGCTTTATTTGACTAGAAGACGTTTGCTTCGACTCCCACGCAGAAATTATGTCATACAAATAATCAAAACTTTTTATATGTTCTTCTCCATCTGGACGTGACTGAAATATAGCCCAACCTTCTGTTGAAGTTAAATTAAGCTTATCAGCAAGTTTTTGTACGGCATCTCCTGCTGTATCCGTAGGATGAACATCGATGGCCTTTGTGCGTGCATCTAAGAAAAAAAATCTGCAAACAATAGTTCCAAGACGCCGCATTGCCTGAAATATACATATGTTAAGAAAATTTTAGAAATAAAATCGTTCAATATTAAACTATTTACAGTTTTAAACATGTATGTGTACTTACTGCTACTTCTACGCTTGAGGGTGGGTGTAGCCTTGTTGATACTTTTGTACATTTACAGTTATCAAAACACCATTGAGCATATTGTTTAAGCTTGCCTTCCAACGATTCCAATTTTATTTTTAAAAATGAAACGTAATACCTGTAAAAAAATATATAAACAAGCAAAGAATGTAAAATGAGGATGTAAGTGATCATTTTAGTTATCGCCAAGTATCTTCTTATACTCTGTACATGAAATGTACAAGAGTATATTAGGTTTGCGCGAGCTGAAAAATGTAACAGGCAGAAGGAGGCGTGGCAGACCCCACAAAGTATATATATTCTTGATCAGCATGACGAGACGAGTCGATCTAGCCCTGTCTGTCTGTCTGTCTGTCTGTCTGTCTGTCCGTCTGTCCATCCGTCCGTCCGTATGATCACCTAGATCTCAGAGACTATAAGAGCTAGAGACACCAAATTTTACACAAAGATGCCTTATGTGTGTACGCTATACGAGTTTGTTTTATTTTTTGGATTTTCCCCCCCCACTTCCCCCCTATGGGGATTTTCCCGATTTTCCATTCGTATAATCGCCTATATCTCGGAGACTATAAGACCTAGGAACACCAAATTTTAGTCCAAGATGCCTTGTGTGAATACGCAGAAAATGTATATTTTGGAATTTCCCTCCCTCCCCCCTCTCCCATGCAAATCGCGATTTTCTCTAACTCCCGTAATTCTTGGAATTTCGAACTAACATTTTGGAAATACCCCCAGTTAGTTATTATGTGTCCGTATGCCAAGTTTCACTATGATAGACCGATTTAACAAGAAGTTATAGCCGTAAATATATTTGCTGCTGCAGCGCTGCTCCAACGTTTGTATGAAAAATCTACAATTGGACAAATTGGACACATGTTGTCTTCAGTGGTGTAGGTGAGCACTAAGAAGAGATTTTGGAAAATTCAAGCTCCAAAGGGGGAAAAACGAGCTTCAAAGTTTGTTTGAAAATTCTGCATTTCTGCACCAATCAACTTTAAATTTAATTTTTATAATCCATAAAAGAATACAAACAAAACTGCATACTTAGATTTTCGAAATTTGTGTTGGAGCTTGAATTATTGGTTTTTTAATATTTATTCACTATTTCAAATGAAAAGTTTGTGTTATAAATTTAGTCCGATCGATTTAAAATTTGGGTAATGTTATCTACGTAACTAAATCTACAACTTTGCATTCAAGGATTTTCAAAATATGCATTTTACAAAAGCAGGCAGAACAAACAATACAAAATATGAAACATTTGGGAACAACTAAGTATACATACACACACACACACACACACACATGCAAGCAACTGTTCGTGTAGTTGCGTGCAAACGATTGAAATAGCCAAAGCAAAATGTGAGACACTAATGTGTAAATGTCCATACATATTTGCACATCTTTGTATGTACATATGTATCTACATATGTATGTATGTACATTCGTCTTGCACTGACAGAGCAAGAAATGTTAATTAATTGAAAATTATATAACATTTTTAAAAGTAATTTTTTCTTTGCTTAGTGCATTTGGCATTAGGGTTTTCATTAATAACTTTATGCAGCAACAACAAATATCAAATAGTTGGGGACATCACATACACACACTCACACACACAACAAGCAACAGTTCGTGTCTATGTGTGCGGTTCTCTACGTACGGTTGAAAAAGTAAAGAGAAACATACATACAAGTATGTATGTATGTGTGTATGTATGCCTGTGTATGAATATAGCATGTGTGTACATTCGTATTAATGTATACATTGGGCAATCGAATACAGTTGTTTGATTGTAAAAAAAATAATGCTCTAAAAACAACAACAACTGCAAGTCATTGGCTCGCTCTTCTTCTTTCGTTTTGACCATTTAATGTTAATTGCAAAGGCAAAACGCCAAAAGTTTACAGTTACCGTCGCTAGGCAACGACTGCGTAAGCGATAGTAAAGCAGAAACCGAATAACGGAGCTACGCATATTCTGCTTCGCATTGCGAACAGGTGTATGTATGTATATGATTTGTTCTTATTGATCTCAATAAATAATTAGATTTTATTATTTAAATATTCTGCTTATTGCATTCAAACTTCGATATTTTGATGGTATCGGTGGCTTCAACTATCGAAAGTTTTACTCTAGCAAATTGAGATGAGAATTGTCAGTGCTTTTTGATCGTGGCTCATCGCTACACGGCATTGACACAAGTGCCGCGTTTCACATTCCGTGCTTGTGCGTGACCGTATTGACTCAATATGGCACGAAAAGACTCAAATGTGAATTTAAAATTGGGATATACCCTTATAATTATTCCACTTTTATGCACATAGTCTATCTTAAAACGTTGCGTTATCTCTATATATAAAACAGTTTGTCCTGACTAATTGGTGATCAGCAGAGCCCAAACGGTAAAAGATTAAATTTGGACTCAAGTATCCTATCATAGTATCCATCATAGTGTAGGAGCACACTAAGAAAGGCTTTTGGAAAATTCTAGCTCCAAAGGGGGGGAAACGAGCTTTAAAAAATATTAGTTAGTTCATTTAATTCCTTCCTACTGGTAACTTATAAGGTGAAAACATATGGGTAGGTTATGCACACACAAAATAAATACAATTGGAAACATTATATTGAGCCGGGTTAAGACGGGCAATACCTGCTAGTATACTCATATATAGCTATAACTATCTATCATTAAAAAACTTGGAATACGGACTCCTAATCACTAACTGGAGGTATTTGCCGAATGTGAGTCATAAAGAATAACGGGAGTTATGAAAAATCAGTGATTACGGGGAAGAGGGGCGAGGGAGGGGCGTACTCACATAAGGCATCTTTGACTAAAATTTGGTGTTCCTAAGTAATTTGGTCTCCGAGCAGTAACAACAAGAACAGCTGCGGGCAGAGCTTCGGCAGATATTATATTTATGGCTATAACTTTCTTCATAATTGACCTATCATGATGAAACTTGGCATACAGACATATACAGGGGTGCCACAGAAAACTCAGGTGGTTTCGGTTACAGTTGTATTTTAAAACTCTCAAATAATATGTCGGTGCCACAGAATTTCGAAAGATTTCACTTTTTCGAACTTCCCCTCCAAGCCAGCTGTCAGCAACAGCTGACTGTCGACGAGTACATTTGACCGACTAATTGTGTTTAAATTCTGTAACGTACTATGTTAAATAAAAACAAGAAAGGAATGCTAAAGTCGAGCAGGCTCTACTCTTAAATACCCTGTACCACCCCACAAAAAAGAAATTAAATTAATTAATTAATTAAATTAAATTAATTAACTAAATTAATTTAATTAATTAACTAAATTAAATATAAAATATTCCATACATGCATACATACATTTACATTTACATCAGAATCGTGTCTATGCGTGTTTGTGTACTTGTACATATGTATGTATGTGTGTATTGGGCCTGGTTATATGGCTATAACTTTCTTTCCAATCATTCTATCATAATGAAACTTGGTATACGGATATATAATCACTAACCTAATGTGACTACCAAATTTTAATCAATATTCCAAGAATTACGGTAGTTACAGAAAATCGTGAATAGGGGGGGGGGGGGGGGGGGGGAATTGGGGCGGTGGATCAGAAAAAGTGAACAAACTCGTCCTTTCTCGGACTTAGGAGAACCTGGATACCAAGTTTGGTTATTCTAGCTACTTTCTAACTTTCTAACTACTTTCTGAGATCCTTGCGTTCATACAGACGGACGGACAGACGGACATGGCTATATCGACTCATCTTCTCATCCTGATCAAGAATATATATACTTTGTGAGGTCTGCCACGCCTCCTTCTGCCTGTTACATACATTCGCACAAAACTAGTATACCCTTTTTCCCTTTGGGTACAGGGTATAACAAGAGAGAACGCTACAGTCGAGCAAGCCCGGCAGTGAAATACCCTGTACCCAGGTAAACTTCCGTCACTGAGTTATATGCGCCCATAGCGGAAGTAAAAAGAGGAAGAAGAAGAGCGAACTTGTTGCTGCAGTTTGGGGGGGTTGTACTGTAGAGAATTTGTTTCGCTAATAGCTTTCCTTAGAATTAACCGATTTAGATGAAATTTAAAACAAGAAGACTATTGTGTATGAATTATGTGTGCAAAGTTTGGTTAGTGTAACTTTTAAAATGTGGACGGTATTGACGAAATTCTGGGGGAAGGGGGGAAAATTCAAAAAAAAAAAAAAAAAAACTCGTCCTTTCTCGGACATAGGAGAATCTGGATACCAACTTTGGTTATTATTATAGTTTCAGAGATCCTTGCGTTCATCCAGAAAGACAGACGGACGGACATGTCTACATCCCACAAAAGAACATTCAATTTATTTTATTTGTGCACAATTACGGGGTGTAGTTCCATAAATTGGACGAAAATTACGCCATGTTGTGGTGATCTATGTTTTGCAAAAATTAGCATTTGAAATTGAATTCAGAAATTGCAAAAATGTACTTACATTTTGTTTCGCTGGTCCGTATTGTAAATTTAAATGGCAGTTTATGACCATTTACATTTTCCCTAACAAACAGACACAATTTTCGCCATGTTTGTTTAATTAATACACACTTATTCGATACTTATTTGAAACAATAATTGGTCAAATATATATTTTATTTTTAACTTTTATTGACTCACAACTTTAGATTTAACTCAGCAAAATGTGATGTTAGTTTTCTACTTGAGCCAAGGGGGCATCTCTATTGCTTGGTTGCTTTGGATGCTGTGTGTGAATGTTGGTGTTTTAAGTATACATTTAGTAATTTGCTAATTTAATAATATTTACGTGGGATATGCAAAATATTTTTGTTGCAGATTGTTCAGAAAAACTATAAGGTCCGATGCTCCAATGAATATTTTTATCTGGAAAAATGTCTTTGTTAGAGTTTTTAATAAAAACTCCTGGGAAAACAAACGAGATGAGAAACCTCCCAATTTCTGTGGCACCACTGAATAATTGAAGTTAAGTTTTGTGTAATTACACTTGCGCACATTAAAAAAGCCGATGGTAATTATACTCTGTACATGAAATGTACAGAAGTATATTAGGTTTGCGGGAGCTGAAAAATGTAACAGACAGAAGGAGGCGTGACAGACC